TATTATTAATGAGAGAACATTTGGAAAGTAACAATGACGGACAAAGTCTGAGAAGTTGTGTTGGCTGTAATAGGTAAGATTTTGAATGATTATATATCCTACTTATTGTAATTGTGTTTTTTTGTAATTATGTAAAATTATGTAATATTAAACCCACGGTATGTTGTAATTTTCCTTAAACGAGAACTGAAATTTCTACTGTGAGTACCTTAAATAAATATAATATATCTATTATGTATATTTCATTTTTTTTAACATAATATTTGACTGAACTACATCATATTTGGCTAAATAAATTATTCGTATATTAAAAAATATAACAAATAAATAAATAATTAGGTCACATATTCACCTTTGAATCACTTACTACTATTATTACTTCTCTTTAAGTTAATTTCGAAAGCACATTTTGCATATATATGAAATATGTATTGCACATTTTGCATATATGTTACGTACATTTTAATACAAACATTATTTCGAAAAACATCAGCTTTGTCAAATGTTAGAGAAAATTTATTATGAAAAACTTATTAAGAAAATATTATAAAATTAGTCTTGTATCATCATCATCATCATCGAAGAAGAAGTCGTGGCAAGTGCGTATATTTATTTGAATCAAATACCTGAAGTAAATTGATAAATATATATGAATGAATAATGTTTAGGTACATAAGAATTGTATGTGCCTATATATGTCCTTAAATATGATCACCAGAAACAATTCCATAAAACAGAAACTTACTCTGTGTGTGATATCTACCATATTTGTTTTTAAATTAAACTAGAGGCTCACCCTCGCTTCGCTCGGTTTTGACTCTAGACAATCAAAAATAAATCTATCCCACGGGAACCGTAATTTTTTTCGGTATAAAAAGTAGCCTATTTGTTATTCTGATATATGAACTATATTATTGTAAGGTTTCATTAAGAACCAATCAGTATTTTTATGTACTAAGCTGTATAAGTTACTATAGTATTTTTAACTATCCCACGGGAACTCTTTAATTTTCCGGGACGAAAAGTATTTAAAATGTTGACCGGGGATATAAGGTATCACTATGAAAAATTTCATGTAAATCGGTCAACAATTTCGGAGATTAGCCCGTACAAACAGACAAACAGATAGAGAAACAAAAAATACTGGATTTATTCTATTCCTCCTCTTACATCCCCATGACTCGGTTTTTAGCATTTTTTTTATTACAGACATTGCACCTCTACAGTTTATTATGTGTATAGATTACGTGTGTACATTAATATAACCATTGAAATTCATACCAATATCAAATAGTGCGTATAAGCAGTCAGACAGAAGTTGTAAAACTATTTTGGTTTCGTAAATATTCTTTTTATATTATATGTATTGTATAAGTATTTAAAAGAGATATTCCACACAGTATTTATTGTTTTATTTATGGTCTCTACGTATGATAAACATACCTAAATATTTTGCTAAAATGTACAATAGGTAAGTAATACGTTAAAATTTCTTTTGTCTTTTTAGCTTCCTCATTACACTTACATTTTTCTAATAATCTACTCTGCAGCTCTGGGTGGCGATACCTATCGCCACCATTCATGTTAAATTCATTAACAAACAAACATTTATTTCGCCATTACATTAATTCAATTGTTATAAGAATCAAACCGGTGACCCTTAGCTGACTATGCCATAACTAATAGCTAATATTTCAGCAGTCATTCTATACATAAGTGATACTCTTTCCTTTTTACAAAGCTATATATTTTATGACTTCTTATTAAAATAAAGAATTGTGCTATAAAATTGAGGAGCAAGTCAAATATGTCTTGACACTCGTGTGGCGCGGGGTCAGTGAGATAAGTCCGGGTAAGTCGAAGACTGATTCCCGGATCAGACGGATAGTTGCGGGCATTGGGGCGGAGACTATTCTTTACTCACAGCCCACTGCTCGCTATGACTGACTTCTAAAGGGATTTGTGACGCCATTAACCGACACTTTTGAATCAAAGTGGATATTGGCTACTACAGATTTATAATGCTGGCACCATCAGATAGAGTTACGAAGAAAATCTTTTAGTAATTCTCATTTATTGCCTGCGATGAAACGTTTATATGTCGCGATCGTGGCTGTATTATAACTTATTGCTTATACTCTTTGTTCGATCTTCAGTATTTTTCAATTTTCTTATCTTAATTCAATTTAGACTCGAGTTACACGATCGAATATACAGAGAAACCTTTGTTGTAAGGAAATATAACAGTTTTACAGTCGTAATTTAGTGAAGTGCGAAGTTCCGTCACATCGGGGGGTACGCGTTCTCGGTTAGGTGTAAGAATATGCGGCCAGTGTTGTAAGCCTCGAATATTCCGCAGTGTTGCCACACGCAATAAATCGCAGGGAGTGATGGCGCGCTTTTTGTTGCGCGACATTTTTTCCCGCGCTAGTGCCGCATATATCACCGGCCGGTACGTAGTGACTTATGCGGTTGTCTAAAGTCCCGCTTAAAATAAAACGCGACATTTTTTGAAAGGCATATCATTCCTTTTGTTTATTTTTTATTCGTACTTAATATGTCTTGTCCCCGTCAGCTATAATGTTAGGGATTGATAATAATTTATATCAATGTTGCTAACTCTACACCGAGCTTGTAAGTAATGGAGGATAGATAATAAGTACTTAAACTCGAGCAATTAACCAATAACTTAAATGAATTTAGATTTAGTTTAGAAATAAGTTTTTATTATATATTCGATTTATTGTAACAATAAACAAATATAATTTACGTGGTTGGAGTATATAAAACTATAATCTCTGTGTGAATAAATTAAATGAAATCCATATATGGAAAGATTCACAGATTAAAAACGTCTAAAAGAAATCCCCAGCTGGAATCGTAGAAACCGCACTCACTGAAGCGGACACGCTTACAAACTATCAAAACACTAAAAAGACCAATCGCAAACAGTAATTGTATATAACAAAGCACCCTTAAAATCCGTTCGAAGCCGCAAATAAAACCAACATTAACTAAGGCAAATCGGTTCGGGAAGCATTTTATAAGTGCATTATACGATGTCCTTTCTTCTGAAATGCGATTAAAATTGAATAGGTCCATATGCCGCTTGCAACGGCCCCGTTGCGTCACAATTACACGGCCGGCTGCATTTTCAATTTACCGCGAGATAAGCAAGTTTTGGCCTTTTTCTGCGGAATGGCGGAATTGATCCAGTGACTTATGGAAGGCAAGATAGAGGACGGTCAACTGAAGCGGACTCTAATTTAATTCAGTCAATGGAAATGCGATGGGATGTATCGCCCATTGGACTGGATAAGTGATGGCCTATCGAGATGAATTTATATAGCTTACTTTGTTTTGATATATTCAAATAGCCATCGACTAAATTTTATTACCTTTTCATGTGTTATATCGCTTTTGTATTCGAAAATACAAATTTAAAGTGTTCAATTTGAAGAACATTTTTGGAAACGGTGTTAGTAACTTAGTCTCATGAGAACTTGTTTGTTATTTGGATTTAATAAAAAGCCTTATTGAAATATCAATAAGTATTGATAATTTATTCGCAATTTTATTTAAAATACACAACTTCACAATGTTTGTTTTAAAAACTAAAAACTTTAGGTACGGGATATCATTACAGGCTCTGTTGTGATCGCTAATTTACATTTTATTATTTCATATTTTGATAGTTTTATTCTCTAATGTCATTTACATTTTTTATATTTACACATACTTTTGGGTTGGAAACGACGTTTTCGAGGGATCATTCAACGTTTATGTTATTTGTAAGACAACTAGGTTTTTTATTATGGATCACCGCAAAAACATCGTTCCGTCATTAATTTATGGCCACACAATACTTATTTTTATAAAAGTACAGCAATACAAAATACCCTTGTAATATTTATGACAAATCAATACATTTACAGAAAACATTATTTGTAACCCAATTCTGTGACCCGATGTTGACAAACAAACATAAGAAACTCCAGTGATATCCACAACGGTTCCTCATACTGACAATATTTTTACTGTAATTTATTTACAACTCGTACGAATTATAACTAGCATATAAATTACTATTGCATTTTAATAAACACTACGAATTGAATTTACAAAAAAAAAACATCTGGAATCATTTTTGAACACATCACAATTCCTATAGCGAACCGAACAGTTCAAATTAAATATAATTAAAAAAAATAAAACCATCTATACAGGAACGGAATATAACTTAATAAGATATGTACAAAATACACAATTTATTTACGAACGATATCTACTTATATATTTATATAAATCATCTAAGCGGACATAGTAATCGACCTTAACTTATATTATAATACTGTACAATTTCGCTAATTACTTCACCTTGTAAAACGATCTTAGAATCGCATCACACTGAACCACCAAGAAACTCAGTTCTAAATCCATACAAAATGAAAACAAGCTACTAGGAAATATTTAAAAGGCTAACACAAACTGTAAAATATTTTACTTTATATTGAAATAATAGTTAAGTGTGAAGCGACCCTAGATTTAATACTTTATACCTTTTGTAAAATAACCTCACATCTAAAGAACGACGATAGAAAAGTTAATACATGCATTTCAGTCCGATATTTGCATACATCTAACAAAATAAATATGTGAAATCGAATAAATTCCATGTGTCTGTCTTAAATTGTATTTCTAGAGTCATTTTTAGATAACCATTGCTATCGAAAGGAAACGAATCGAGAACTTATCACGGTATATAAAACACGTTCTGTGAAAACTTGGTGGTTTTAGTGAGATATGTTCATCAATTTGATGTATTTTAGTATTAAAACATCAATTCTGCCACAGTCTTATATATTAGTGTGATGTGTCGCTTGTGTTGCTATCGGTATACTAAAGTCAAATCACAGTATGTATTTGTGATGCTTCAAAGTCGCTCCGGAAGGTTACGTACCTATATCTTCTCCTTTTTCTGCGTCCTGATTGACTTATCACGTGTACTCGCTCCTCCAACCCGTCTGCAACAGAGCATGTTATTAGTATTCCGTTTGTGAGAAATGTCAGGGACTTTTTTACATAAATGCAAGTAAGGGAGCAACTTTTTCATGTATTTGCATATGTTATTCATATTAATGATTTATTTTTAAAATAGATACATACATTATATCTGTATAAATAAATCTATAGTACATATAATAAAATTCTAACTAAGCCGCATCTGTACATGAAATATTTTTTGGAAAATCTTATTGAAATATTATTATCGAAACAGAGGTCGAATCTATAGTTTTTAGAATTTTTGTCTGTCTGTCTGTCTGTTACCGCCAAACGGAAAAACCACTGGACGGATTTTGATGAAATTTTGTATGATGGTAGCTGGTTATCCAGGTCAACATATAGGATACTTTTTACCGCGATAAAATGTCTTATTTCTGGGAAAAAATATAAAAACTGATGGTATACTAATATGTAAAACCTAAGAATTTCGTTTTTGGTCATCTGAACGCGGGTGGAGCCGCGGGCAATGCTAGTATTTATAATATAACCATTATATACGAGTATGTCTCGATTATCCTTTCTGTATTCTACATAACTAGCTTATTTATGACTCTTAAGTTTTAGGTATGGCTTATTACTAATATGAGTATAATCATAGGGTGCTCACCATAGAGTTGAGTTGCGCGAGATGGTGGTGATGATAGGGGTTGTGTGAAGTAGGAGGGGGCGCGAAGCCCTGATGGGGGGCGCCGTACCAGTGCGACATGTGCGCTGCCGCAGGGTGCACTAGACCTACTTGGTGTTGACCTGCAGACAACATAAAGTTCTAATATTAATCCACTATGGAAAGACATAATAATAATAATAATAATGTCCTCCTGTCCAATATAGTGCACAAGCGCGTGCGCAAATACAATTGAATACAAATGAAACTCCGATGGGAAGATATTTGACACGATGAATTTACCTGCTCTCCGAGGTACGAAGGTTGTAACACCACCTCTTTCTAACTCCGGCCTCCTACTACGAATTTCTTAACAGAAAAAACTAGTAACTATACGTGGCCCAACCCGGGACTCAAACCCAGGATCTGCGAATCTGCAGCCCTACATAGCAGCCACTAGAGCAACGAGGCTATAATATGAGTATATTAACGTAACTAATGGAAGTATTGTGTACAGTTGTTTTCTTTAAAATGAAGAGATGAGTACTAACCGAAATCCATTGCTGAAGGGAAAGCAGAACCACCAAAACCTTTAGTGGCATCTCCTAGAGGTTTGATCATGTCTCCCATGACTCCGCCGAGGGCTAATGCACATGCGCCTCCACCACCCATACCCATTCCTCCCTTCTTTTTCTTACTTTTACTACTCAATTTCCGGTTTCGCGTTTGAATACCTTCTTTTTTCATTGTTAACGGCCGGTTTACCTGTAACAAAGATAACAATATTTAATTTAAGATATGAAACATATTTTAGTGTATATTACCTTGTGTAGTCTTTAGTTATTAACATCGATTTAATTATTACAACAGTCCAGAAAAGGAAATACAAGTTCACTAACTTGGTCGCACGTAAAACATATCTCATTGAACGTTAACAAGAGGTTAACAATCGTAGCAGCCTGACTCAGTTTTGCCAACGCGTTCCCACTTTATTGCTATGACATGACATTAAAGCTATATAAAAAACATTTGCAAACTAATTTGGAATGCTAAGTAAGAAGTATAAAGGCGAGCCGAGACCATAAAATGGTATCACAATGGGTTGTGTGCGAATATTTAGCTGTTTGGTGGCCGAAGCCGACATGCGTGAAGTGGACCTACGACGCATCCTAATTACTGCAGCGATGCACTTTGTGACTACATTTGTTAGCATTTGGTGGGAAACTTACTTTACGTCATCGAATGTTCATGCGAAATGACAAGAATTGTGTTTATTATTAGCCGATACTCTACCGACGGTTTTAAAGGTTTTTATTTTCATCTAAAATAAAATCATAGATTATTTGTAATAAGTGTAAGAAATGATAAAATCCATTTATGTGAGTATTACTTATAGGGCAGGATGTTACAGATGCAATAACGGCACATAGTAAATGCTCGTTTAGGTTATACTCGTATAGATTTTATGTAACTATGGTTTCTGGGTTTTTCTACAAGAGATACAGCACAATAATTATAACAGACATACATATATGTTATAATAAAGATATAAATCAATCTAGTGCTTAATAATCTCAAGTTATTTACTTTAATATTTCCCTGCAACATAACAAACCTATCTAAGCTTTCAATTTATGATGTAATTAAGTACGGTTCACATGCATCTGGTAGTTAGCGGGTCTGTGGAAAGCACCGGATTTTATTGTTTGGCGTGCGAAAATGCACTTTCATATTTGTGCATTTCGCGGGTCAAGTATCTCGGTCACTTTCTGCATTGCATCGTTATTTCTGAGAAGCGTGCGTCACGACGGACGGACGGATGGACAATGAGTTATTCATCGCCTTCCATGGAACTTGGCGGCGGCATGTGGCCTAAACGCACGATTTCATTGCGCCCGCGCCTGCCGGCGGCACCAGCTCATGCGCATGACCTGATCTTATTTACGTTTTTTGGTGTAATATGTGTGGTGTTATCAAATTTTACACATTTCACTTGTCTTATAATATACAGGGGACATTTATAGTCAAAAGCTTCACATCCATTAACATGTAGGTATTTCCCATAAAAGAACATGTTACAAAGCGTGTTGCATGTTCAGTTAAACTTTAATATGAGATCTAAAGCTACAATTTTAAAAAACCGAGACATTGAAAATGAAAAACTTTATTTGCTGACCTTATACAATAATCGAATAATGAAAATAGATATCTACAAATATTTATAGTATGAGCATTCACAAAGGCATTAGCGATATACAAAATTAATACTTAATATAGATATTACGTTAGATAGACAAAGGACACCGAGCAACCCTTACTTTCCGCCAACTGCAGTCAGTGAGGATTTGACGCGAATTCAATATGGGGAAAATACTTGTAACAATATAAAAATGCAGTCATCACTAACCATATGAATAACTAGCATTGCCCGCGGCTCCGCCCGCGTTCAGATGACCAAAAACCAAATTCTTAGGTTTTACAAATTAATATACTCTTACATTGCAGTTTTTGTATTTTTTCTCAGAAATGAGACATTTTCCCGCGGTAAAAAGTCCATCCTACATGTTGACCCGGATAACCAGCTATCACCATACCAAATTTCATCAAAATCCCTCCAGTGGTTTTTCTGTGATGCGGTAACAGACAGACAGACGAAAATTCTAAAAACTATAGATTCGGCCTCTGTATCGATAATAATGTCTATTACAATAAGATTTTCCAAAAAATATTTATTGTACAGATTCGGCTTAGTTACAATTTTATTATATGTATAGATGAAATAAATTAGCAAAACGTACAATTTACAAGTGTAGTATGCGTTAGGATGACATCCAATTACGTACAAACGCGTTTTTAATCTTCGACAATGGAAGGTCATTTAAGCTGACAACTGCAACAAAACTGTGCGTGCTAATTCCGAATGTCCCTAATATGTTCCTACGAATCGCCCACACATCACGAGACTCGCATACCGCGCCGTCGCTACTCGCAATTGAACCAATATAAAATGCATTAACATTAGCACTGCCGGCAGATTTAGTGCAACGTAATTAGGTCATTGTGAAGCCTTCGCACTCTAACGCTAGAAGTTGCGATATTGTAGAAGCTAATATGCTCAGTGACATACAATATTAGTGGTTACTCTGATTATGAATTTGTTTATTGCACTATATATTATATATGTATATTTTATATAATTATTGATTTATGTATTGTTTCTGACAATAATTAGAAGAGACAAATATTTATAATCTTTCATGAATTGGTATAAAAGAAAAAATTAAGGAAGTTCTTTTATTTCCTCTATCAATTCTATTCTAATTCTCGTGGGCATATTGGAGTACTATTATAAAAATATTTAGTGAACAAATATCTTGTGATGCTTTTACTATATATAGCTTGTATTTACTTAAAATATTCAATGAATACAGACTCTTTTAAAATATATCTAAAATAAAATACCAAAATTCTATAATAATTTTGCAAAATAACTCAAAACAAACAGTACAACGAGCAGGAAAATGTATCCAAGTTCGCAATCGTCATCATACGTTGTTTGCATGCGAAACTCAGGGCCTTTTAAGGGTTATAGTCCATAACTGGCGCCGCGGAAGGCGTATCAGTACCTAAAATGGGTACCTAGGTATACACTACAGTTAGTGGTTAGATCTCGAGACATCCGCCATGTTGGAGTTGAATTGCTTAATAACTGGCCATTATGTCAAGTTAATTACATCGCCGTTCCCACTGAGACGATGCGCTCTGTATAGGTACGGCGGCATAGTAGGCTCATTGTAAGCTAACGTGTGGCCATAAAACAATAAGATAAAAATAATAAGTAAAGATTGCACAAATCATGGAAAAAGCTATGAATAATTCAATTGATGATAAACGGAATTAAATGGAGACTGTAACAATAAAGTACTAAAAGGATATAAAACTAAAAGAGGTTTTATAAAAATGTAAAAAGGATAGTAAGTAAATTTTAATTTAATCCAGAAGCTCAACGATAAAATGAAATTTAATCTGCGTATTCAACAGAAGTTATAACCAGTGCAATTCTTGACATTGCATAAATATGTGCACGTAAAAAGGCAACTGGAGCTTCTGTATTCTATACACGAATGTTAAAAGTTTAAAATAAAATAAATAATTGCAATCAGTTAGAATATTTAACTACAATTAGATTATTAAATGAATAGTTTTTATACGATATAATCTATACTTCTATACTAATATTATAAATGTGAAAGTTTAGATGTTTGGATGGATGTTTGTTACTCAATCACGCCAGAACGGCTGGCTGAACGGATCTGGATGAAAGGCACAGAGATAGATTATAGTCTGGAATTTCTCGTAGGCTATATCCCGGAAAAATGTACGTTGCCCGTGGGATAGATTTTTATAGTATAAAACTTAACACACATTATTTTGTGCCATGTTTAAATATTTTCTGGTAATCGTAACACAGCTTTTATATACGTATAAATTAAGGAGGTTATTAATAAATAAAAGTATTTTTTTGCCAATAAATAAGTGAATCTATTTCTTAATTACTCAATTCATATTCCTTGTTTATGATTTGAACAAGCTTTTTGATGTCCAGACGGTTCTATATATGTATAAATAAACCTTATGTTGGAGTTAAAATCTTTAAACTTACATCGAATAGCAGAAAAAGTAGAAGACCCATAGGAGTTGAATTTAAAAAAAAACGTTTCTAAATAGGAATATGCTATTAGAAACGGTTTGGGACGGTGAAGAATCAGTAAAACCAAATTTTTTGTACTTATAAATTGAATGAATCATAAAACACAACATTTCTAATTTTGAAGTTAAATTCAATAGTTAATAATATTTTAAATAAAACTATGTTTTCGGATTATTTCGCGAATTTATTTTGATTTTTGGTTGCCGACTTGCTATAATGCATTCGAAACGTCGGCAACCAAAAATCAAGATAAATCCGCGAAATAATCCGAAAAGATAGTTTTATTTAAAATGGCAAATATTCGCGTAAATCTAAGTAAGTATTAAGTAAATAATATGTTATATATTATGGTATAAATGATAATACAACTCGCTTTGCACATAGCAATAAATCTGAACAATTGTACGAGTATAGTGGATTCATGGAGTAAGGGCCGTATCGCGTGTGCAACTCACATTTACCTGTATGCTGCTGCTCCCAACCTTGCACTCAATCCTTAAACACAACTGTACGACTTTGGTGTAGTGACGATAAGCATTTAATCGATCCCAATGAACCTTATATACTGACACAATTGAATTAACAATATTGTTTTAACTTTAATACTAAAACACATAATCAATTTAATTTATTATTTTCCACTAGTGATCTAACCTTGCTTTGCTCGGGTGCGGTTCTAAGTACTAAAAAAGTAGCCTATACGCTACTCCAATTTATAAACTATTTGTACACTAAATTTCATCCTAGTATTTCATTAATTTAATTCAAAAATTCTGATCCTCTGTAAAGGCAAAACAAACATACATTTTAATATAGTAACATTAATAATAGTAGTGTGATATTGCTAACAAAAAAGATTGACTTACATAATAAAATATAAATACATACATACACTCGAAAAACAAAACCCTCTTTCTGACGCAATCGGGTAAAAATAATATATTATTTGTTTATCTTTGCTACTGAACACAGGCATAGTATTTCACGCCGAGAAAAAATGAAGCTGCGTATTGTAAAAAATATTTTAGGCCTTGTTTTGCGGTGCGTGTGAATA